AGATGACCAGTATGCATGTGAAAAGACACTCAATATCATGAATTGTCAGAGAAATGCAAATTTAAGCCACAATAAGATACTATCTCACACCTGTCAGAATGGCTATCATCAATAAATCAACAAACGACAAGTGTGGCGAGAATGTGGAGGAAGGGGAACCCTTCTACACTGTTGGTGGGAATGCAGACTGGTGCAGCCACTGTGGAAAGCAGTACGGAAATACCTTGAAAAATTAAAAATGGATCTGCTCTTTGACCTAGCATCTCACTTCAGGGATTGTATCTGAAGGAACACAAAACATTAATTCAAAAGAACATAAGCACCCCTAAGGTCACTGCAATGTTATTTACAATCACTAAGATATGGAAGCAGCCCAAGTGTCCATCAGTAGATGAGTGGATAAAACAACTATGGGACATTTACTCAGCAGAATACTACTTCGCCATAAAAAAGAAAAAAGCTTTACTGCTTTTCGACAGTATAGATATATCTAGGTAACAATATGCTGAGTGAAATAATCCAATCAGAGAAAAACAAATACCAAATGATTTCACTCATATGTGGAATCTAATGAACAAAGTAAACTAACAAGGAAAATGGGGACACACTTGTAGATGGAAAACAGATGACAGCTAGTGGAGGGTGGAAATGAGAGGGTAGAGGAATTGAGCAAAAAGGAAAAGGATTCATGGACATGGACAACAGTGTGGTAATTGCTGGATGGAGGGGGATATAAGGGGACTAAATGGTAATGGAAAACATACAATAAAGATTAAGTGAAAAATTTGTCAGAACAAATGTTTTTTCTGATTTTTCAATTATGGTGACAATCAATATTATTTTATATTAGTTTCAGGTGTGCAGCCTAGTGGTTAGACATTTATATAATTTACAAAGTGATCCTCCTGGTAAATCTAGTACCCATCTGGTAACTTACATTGTTATTACAGCACTTTTGACTACATTCCCCATGCTGTTCTTTATATCCTGTGATTATTTTTTTAACTACTGGTTTTTATTTCTTAATCCTTTCACCTTTTTCTACCAGTCCCCTAGACCCCCTTCCATCTGGAACCATCAGTTTGCTCGCTGTGTCTGAATCTGTTTTTGTTTTGTTTGTTCATTTGTTTTGTTCTTTAGATTTCACATATAAGTAAAATAGTATTTGTTTTAGTATTAGTAGTATTTGTAGTATTAGTAGTATTTGTTTTCTGTGTCTGGCAGAATAAGCTTTTTAAGAAAACATAATCCCAACACCATTATCACAATCAGCAAAATGAGTAATTACTTAATATTATCTGAGATTCAGACCTTGCTCAGTTTTCTTTTATTGCTCAGAAACATTCTATAGTATTTGACTTTTTCCAGTAAAAATACAAATAAGATCTGCATATTGTATTTAGTTGGCAGGTCTACTGATTATCTTGTGGTTTTAATTTATTTTTTCCTATGTGACTTACTTGTTGAAGATCTGGGTCTCTTATACTGTAGAATTTTTACATTTTTTATTTACTAGATCATGTCCATTTAGCAGTAATTTAATGTGTTCTTCTCTCTACTGTGGTCTCTGGAAAAAGGCAAATCTGGAGGCTTCTTAGACTTAGGTCAGGTTTTGCAAAAGAATATATTGTATGTAGCATTCTATGTTTCCTATTTCATAACACTGGGAAACACATCTCTGGTGGTCCTAGAGTTATAATTTTGTGCATATGATAATTTTAGAGTCTATTTCCTTACCAGATCATTAGCTTCATGAAAATAGATACTATATTTGTATTTATTAAAGTCTTTTAAATCTTCAGTGCTCAGTAAAATGCTTGAAGACTGACAATAATGTTTTATTTAAGTTGGACAGATGAGTTATAGGAATATCAGTTTGGTGGGCAAATAATTTGAAAATACTTATAATCATACAGTTGTATGTATCTGATTCTCTTCCTGAGGTTTTTCCAGTAACTAACAATTTTTAGAAAAGTTTCACTTGTGAATTGTGTAATTAATGGTATAATATTGTTTCAGCATTGGAACAATGAAGCAAAGTGGTGAACACTGGGTTTTCTTTCTCTGTGTTGGGAAATGAAATACCAATAAATATAGATCAAACTTTGCAACTAGAACTCAGTGAGGATTGCATTTGAGAATTCATGAAGGCACTTGTGTCTAGTATAGAGCTGATGCTCAATAAACATTATGTTATTATCATCATCATTATTATTATTTTAACTTTACTTAAAAAGGAATATAGTCAAAGACTTAAAATTTTATATCGATGAAGTGTTCTCCATATGGACTGCTGGGCCTTTTTGTGTTTGGTTTCTTGTGTTCCCTATAATTAGCCATTGACATTGTTTAGTTGCTTTGCACATTCTAAGAAGTACCAAGTGCTTAACATGAATTATTTCATCTGAATCCAACAAGAACCTATGAGACAGATACTATTACATATCGCAGATGGAGAAGCTGAAGTTTAGAAAAATTAAAAGACTTGGCAAATATCATACATTTATTAAGTGACTATAATGGGCTGATATCTGTATTTACCTGACTGCAAAACTGTGCTTTTAAAAGCCAAAATAATCTATTGCTTTCCTACAATGCAAGAATATGAAACACCTAAATACTCTCCCCATGACGTCAACATTGCAATTAGAATCTGACTGGCCTCCATTCACATGGATCACCCGAAGTGTCTTCAGTGTGTTCCATTTTAAGTTTTTCTCTCTCCAGTGTTTTCTTGTTAATACATTTTAAAAAGGAAAATACAAGAAATCTTATAAAAATGCTTCTCCCTTTTACTTCCTGGAAAACCTTTGCATGGCAAAATGTTCTAGTACTCTTCCAAGAGTACTAGAAATCCTTAACAATTGATACATTCTAATTAAAATCAGAATGACTTTGTGTGATCCAGAGCAGCCAAATGAATGCAGATATTAAGAAATTAGGAAATAATCCAAGTTCTTAAGCAGAGTTAACAGGGCACATACCCTGGGATAAGAGAAGCATTGTGCTCTTGGATACATTTGTGGGTAGCCCTTGACATTTGAAATGTCACTTCAAAACAAATTATACAGTCAACATATCATTCAGGCCATAATCATTCAATCTCAAGGACCCCAAACTCATTCCTACAAACAGAAAGCTTTTGTAATTTGTTTTTCTGAGACTTTCTCATGGGTGATATAATGGCTATACTCAATAGCCTCTTTTTATACGTGTTTTCCTCATATGGTCTATAACTGCTTCTTGTCTCAATGGTATGAGTGCTATCAACCACAGAGTCACAAGTATTTATCAATAAGTTGTCATTTGGAATGATTGAACCTCACATTGTTCAGGCCCCACATTTTGGAAGAATGACTTTCTTAGAGCTTCTTTATTGATAATGAACTTAATAAAAAGGTTTACATATGTAGGCCAGTTAATATTTTCTGCCTTTTGATTCAGAAGGAAACTGTGGTACCCATGAACCTCTTAGCCAGCTTTACTACCCATTCCAATTAGTGCCAGAGTGTTTATTGAGGAAACACTCAATATGGGGTTTACTCAAAAAGCCTTTACTCAAAAAGCCTTTACTTTTCCCCATATCTTCTATATGAGACGACCACTGCTATAGCATCTTTCTATCATTTGTCAGCTCCCTCAATCTGTCCTTTTTCCATCTAATAGAGAGTGCAGTTCAGAAGGTTTTTCACCGGTGTCAGGAATCAAGGTATCAAGAGTGCAATGTAGTAACAAATCTAGAGGGGTCCAAAGAAGGCAGGTATCAAGAGTGCAGGTATCAAGAGTGCAATGTAGTAACAAATCTAGAGGGGTCCAAAGAAGGCAGGACACAGCTCCCTTCCTCCAACTGAGGGCTGAGACCAAACCAGTGAAGGAGCACTTGACCATGAGCACTTTGGAGTCAGCACCCTTTAAACAAGATCTCAGGGGAAAAGGTGCAACACCCCCAGGTACATAGGCTATGTACCATCATAGGTTGCTTGGCTTCTGCTCACTGCATAGCTCAACAACTCCAGGTAGGGTGTTAGTAGACTGGGCTAAAACTATCCCTCTCCAAATCAAGGAAGAGGTGTGAGACTGGCAGGTCCTGTGGAATATAAACAAGCTACTTCTGATTGTTTTTCAGCTTCTTGTTCTCCCTTTTAGCAAACCTGACAGCACAATAGAGATTTTAAAAGATAATTTCTTACAACTTCTTTAATGCAGCTTCTGTCAATTCTTCTAGATTCATAAATAAAATCTTTTGCTAGGGAGCAAAAAATCTGAAAATGCATTCAAACACAACACTAAAATAATTGAAAATTCGAGTAAGCCCTGGTTAAGTTTTACTAATCATGGATTTAATGATCCCATGGATAAATAAGCCCCTATATCTTGACACACAGTGTGCTTCTTCTTGAAAGATCTAGATAGCCAATAAAACAGTTTCTTTTCTCTCTTTACAACTTCATACTGTACCTTAACATGTTTTTAGTACTTCATGATTTCTAAATTATGGAAGGCATTATTACTTTGAGTTGAACAGCAAAATTTTCCAAAGTTAATTCTGAAGTTCTGTCTGAAGCAAGTTTGAATTAATAAAGTATACCTGCATTATGAGAAGTCAAGTTAAAAAATATAATATATCCATAGTTTATCAGACATAGTAACACATGTTTTGGAATATATATATATGTATATATACACATGTATATATATTACATATATATGAAATGTTTCTCACACACACACACACACACACATATATATATGTGTGTGCATATATATATATATATATATATATATATATATATATATATGAAATCTTTAAAGATGTTGACTATTCTTACCATGGTGCATTAAGGAAGGATTGTTATGTAGCAAAAGCAAATGCTCTTACCAACATTTTGAACTTCTCTCATGTACCATACACAGATATCAATCATCCAACAATATACTCCAAGACCTTGAGAAGATAACTCAAACTCTGTGATTTTAAGAAGCATTTTAAAAAATCATACCTCAGCTGCTTCATCTTCTTCTTGAAGTTCTTTTAAAGTATGCTGAAATTTTGCATCAGTCTTCTTAGCTTTTTCAGCACTTGTCTGCTTTTCTTCTTCATAGAACATAGCTACTATGCCAAAGAACAAGCTTGCCATATAAAAGGCAAACCAAAAACTTATTGCAATAAAAAATACCATGTAGACCTTTCCAGAAGCATAAAGGATCTAAGGAGAAATGGAAAATAGACAGAAAAATGTTATTTGTCTTCTTGTAATCTCCTGTTTTAAAATAAAAAGTGAGATTTTTATGAGAATAATTTAGTTATAAGTGGAATGAAATTACGAAAAGGCTTAACTAATGGCTTTATGTGGAGAAATAAGCAAATAGCTCTTCAACTTTAGACAGATCTATGGTATAAAATATATGGTACAAACCAAAGAAAGAATTAAGTAATTTAATTAATACATGCTGAGCATTTGACTTTTATGTCTTCATTAATAAACATAGTGAAAGAAAAAGTTGTCTTCTCAGTAAAGATGGATGGATATCTATATATAGATTATTTTCTTTGCAGTAGAATCTTTAAATATATGAAATTTAATAAAGTTAGAGGATTAATGTTTAAAGATTACTGTCTTCCAACAATTACTTTATGGATCTGTCACAACAAGATGCAATACCAGGAATTCAAAATGGTGGGGAACAGAAATATTTCTGCTACCTGCTTTGGTAAAGAACTTTTAGATGAACCCCAATGGAAAGTCATATGATTTATAGACAGAAGAATACAAAATTTTAGATTTCCGAAGTGACTTTTACTAGCTTTTATTTCATAATAATTACCTAAGATCAGAAAATTTACAAAATTTAAAAAATTATAAGGACATATTACAAATCAAAACTAGAGTTCACTGATATATCCTCCTCATTAATTATATCAAGAAAAAAGGGAATAGTTTAATTTTTAAGCACCCATTTGTATCAACAAATAAGAATTATTTACAGAAAATATTGTGTTGCTATAAAGAGTTAAGAATGTTTACAGACTAATAGGAAGTTTTAACATTCAATCAGAGATAATTTATTAATCTATAGCATGCTGTCTTTAAAAATATTTTTATTAAACCCTATTATCCCAGTAGGATTTGGTTAAATATTTTTCCTACTGAAGTAGCTGTCCCTTATACTATTCAGAAGTCAGTAGTAGATTTTGTGGAGTATATAGCAGGCCATGCACAAGAATAAATACTTTGTGCTCATTATCTCATTAATTCTGTGCAGCACATTTCTGTGGTACTTACTATTATTTCCAAAGTGTAGTAGAGAGATGAACATTAGACAGGCAAAATTAGTTTTCAAAGATCTCACAACTATGGAAGATGCCTGAGTCTAAAACTTTTGCTCTTTTCACTACATGAAGCTGGTGAGTGATAAAAGTATATACTCTAATTAGGATTAAAAAAATGTACAAGTTCTAGTTCTATTATATTTTAGCATAAAATTGTGGCTAATTTTAGCTCCATCTCATAGTTTTCTTATGAACATCAAGTAAAACCATGAATGTAAAGATCTTAGGCCATGGAAAATATGCAGTAATATTAACTACTGTTAAACATAACTCTATTCCATGAGCCAGGAGACACTTTGTTTTGTTCATTTCTGTACCCATGATATATCAAAGAGTACATGGATCAAATAAAAGTTTTGTTGAATGAATGGAGAATAATAGTCTCCAAAACATAAGCTGTGTTGTCTTTGGGAATAATTGCTGATTTTCCCTGGCTATAGTTAACTTAGTTTAGGTCAATATTCAGAGAACAAATCCATTCCAAATAAAAGAAAACCTTACATATACTGATCAATAAAACTCAGAGTGTAGTAATGATGCAGGAACTGCATAGACTCCAATACCAGCGCATTCCCAAACTGATCTCTCATTTCAATGGTAGTGGAAAAGAATTTACTTTAAATCACTGCTAACAAGAAATTAGCTAATATATTTTGAGGGTTATAAAAAAGGCAAGACATTTATTAATATATAAAATGACTTAATCCAAAATATTTATGTTGTTTTTTGTTTGTTAAAATTCCATTAAGCATCCCTGTATGTTGGATGTTGAGGACACAAAAATTAAAAGAAGACAAAATACTTCTTCATAAGTAGTATATCCCTAGTGGAAGAAAGAACTGAATGAACAATTAAAATAACCACTGTCAGAGGCAATTATAAGATCCAGTGAACTTCTGGTATAGGATATGATATGAGCTATAAAAAAGCTCAAAGAAGAAATCTGGCTTTGTGTTATGAATTTGAGGCATGAGACTTGAAGACAGATAAAAACTTGAATTTAGGAAGAGTACAATATAGATTTTTAAAAAGAAATTATGGGGAAAGCTAATGTAGGAAACAGCAAATCTTCTTTATGCAAATAAAGTAGGAAGTATGTATTGAGATATTGTTAGGCGATAAATCTGGAGAAGTATGAAGAGACTAGATCTTAAAGGCAGCTAGGTACCATGCATACAGACTTTGAACTTCACCCTATGGGAATCTGGAAACTATTAAAGGATTTTTAGCAGGAGGATAACAAATGATTATTTTAGAAATAAGAAGTTCCTAGGGTTGTGAAGGAGGCATTGAAATTTGTCAAAACATTTGGGAAATAACAATATATATTCTAATCTTACTAAATTAAAAATACAGTTTGCATAAGGAAAATAATGTCACTTGTAATATTGTCATGTACCCCATCTCTGTTTTGTTTACTCAATTTTTATTTAATAATATATCATGAACCTTTGTGCCCCAAACATTGCATTATCCTATCCTTATTAATGGCCTATACACACACACACACACACACACACACACACACACCATTATTTATTTATCCAATCATAAAACCTGTGGGGGTGTTTTTTTTTAAAAGATTGTTCCTCAACTATAAACACTTTTGAACTTTAAAGTAATTATTTTATCTAATATCCTTTTATATTAACTATGCTGCTAAAATAGCATTGCATACTGTGGTGAAACATCTCTTAAAAGAAAAACTGAATCTTTGTTTTAATAGATTCTGAGAAACTATGGCACACAAATAATCAGTTATGAAGACAGACTTTCAGAACTTAGATTTAAAGTTTTATAACAATAAGCCTTCTGTTATAAGTGAAGCATGAGAGAATATTAATTAGAAATGGGAATAGAAGAATTGAGAAGAAATAGCACATTCTAAGTATTCAATAAATAATTGTATAATACTTGGTAATCTCATAGGTTCAAATATATGACTAAAGAAGTGGTACCTAGAATTGTTCTTAACTTAGTTGATTAACTATCACAGAACAGGACAGTGATCCTTGGTACATACATGTGCTGTAACTTTAGGGAGGTTGCCCAACCACTCTGATTTTAGTATCTTCATATAAAAAGCATTACACACACACACATACTGAACCTGTGGGATTGTTTTAAAGATTAAATGAGATATCATACATAAGAGCACAGACTTCAGCACAGTGTTAGGATATAGGTTCTCATTCCTTCTGTCTTCAAATTCTTCTCCTCATAAATATATGATAAGCTTTGTTACATTTGACCATTATTTTAGAAGGAAGCAGCATGGAGCATGGTGCTGTTCTTAGGCACACAGCAGATTCTCTCTGCTCTTACCTGGTGATACAGTGCTTCTGGAAAGTCCTGTGTCATTAACCGGAATAGGGCTAAGAAGGCCCAGCCAAAACTGTCAAAATTTGTGTAGCCATTATCAGGATTTTTGCCAGCTTTTACACACATATATCCTTCAGGACACTGACTAAAAAAGACAAAGGAAAGAAAATGCTTATTCTTAGGTGACTTTCAGATTATGGCTAAACCATAAATATAGAAAACCTTCCCATAAATAATAATAAAAGGCTCCCATTTCCACAGGGATCAGTCTTCTCCCAAATATCCCAGTGAAAAAGTTGCAAATTAGCCCTGGCCTGTGTGGCTCAGTTGGTTAGGCACAGGCCTAGGTTTCCAGTTCAGTCCAGGTAGTGCAGCACACAAAAGTCAACTGATCAATATTTTCTCTCACATCAGTATTCCTCTCTGTCTCTTTCTCCCACCCTTCCCCTCTCTCTAAAAAAAGAGGGTGGGGAGCAAGCTGCAAATGAGTTAGATTTTGCGTTGATATAAGTAAAGCGTTAAGCTAAAAGGAAAAAGGGCTAACAAATGGTCTTTGTCAAGCCTTTCTTAAAGGTTTCTTTATTACCCAACATCAAAGTGAAAGTATAAGTGATGAAATATAACACTGATAAAAATAAAACTGTACTATGGTGGAACAATCAAATATTATTTTAGCTCCTTTCACAGAATCTTCACACTTTTATCTACTGGGAGGTTGAATGTTATGGGAAATTATTACAGCAGTGCCCAATAATCATGCTTCCCTCTCTCCACACACCTGCCTACTTCCCTCTCACATTATTTTGGCTTTGGCCATGAACATGTTTTGGACATTTGTTAATGATTATTAAACATGATACAAATGGAAATTTAAAAAGTAATTGTGAGTTGAGGCTTGGGAAATTTTTGACCCACATAATCTGAACAAATGAATTTTCATTCTTGTGTTAAGGCACAGACTTTTTCTTTTTTTGGCACTGACTTTTGGGATCATTTACCCTGCAGCAAACTATAATGACTACAGGTAAAATATTCTGTGACTTGTTCTTCTGGCCTTGAAATAAATCATTGTTGTTCTGATATCTATTACCAGATATCTTCAATATGAGCTTGGAATGTCTGCAAAAAGGGTTAGCTGGAGTTGTATAGAACAAACACAATGGGATGAGATCACGATTTGGGTTTGAGAATAGAGTATAAGTCCATCAGTAGCTGGGAAAAGGAAGTTGAGCAAGCAATAAAATATCTAAATCAACTGAATATAAGACCTGTCTGGAAAAAGTCCAGCCATTGTTAACATAATGAGAATGGTTTATGTGACATTGACATTGATGTAACCTGGCAGCCAAGGACAGTGGATTAGAATGCACATGAGTGAACAAGTACAACTTCACTGTACTAGTTAGTGGGGGCAGTGGATGTCATTGAGTGAGCATGTGTACCATGTGGCCATAACATTCAAAATGACTGAGCAAATAGAGCAACGAATCTGCATCAAATTTTGCATTAAGCTTGAACATTCTTCCACAGAAACTATCTGGATGATTCAGAAGGCCACCGTTATAGAAAAACCATGATTGGCAGCTTCATCACCACAATATGCCTGCTCATACATCATATCTTGTGCAGAGATTTTTGGGAAAACACCAAGTTACCCAGTGACTCAGTCCCTTTACAGCCCAGATTTGGTTCCTTGTGACTTCTGGCTTTTCCCAAAACAAAAATCACCTTTGAAAGGGAAGAAATTTCAGACCGTCAATTCAGGAAAATATGACAGGGTAGCGGGTGGTGATTGGGAGAACTGTGTGAGGTCCCAAGGTGCCTACTTTGAAGGGGCCTGAAGTGTCATTGTCCTATGTACAATGTTTCTTGTATATTATATCATCTTTGATAAATGGCTGGGTACCTTTTGGACAGATCTATAAGTAAACTATGTAACTGAGCCCTGACAGGCAAAGGTTGCTGGTTCAATTCCCGGTCAGGGTAAGTGCGTGGCTTGAAGGCAGGTTCCCGGTTATGGGTGTGCTAGAGGCAACCATTTGATGTTTCTCTTACACATCAGTCTCTCCCTCTCTTTCTCCCTCTCTTCTCCCCTTTCTAAAAAACAACTGAAATCTTTAAAAACAAATAAATAAACTATATAACTCATACCCCTCTCCCCATCATGTACTTTTTGTCTAACTGAGCTCTACAGCCTAAGAGAATTGAGCCTACAGAAAGGCATCAAGTCATCCCAGCTGAGAAAAGTAACATAAGGAACTATGTAAGTCTCGCCACTACCAGGAAGCACTTCACTTCTACTTCCTTATCTCTTCACTTGAAATTATAGGATGTGAAGCCATGAGAGTTAGGTTCTCACTGAAGAATTACTTATAAATACTGTTTTTAAGAACAATAAACTTTTTATTAATGTAAATTTTAGTCATAAAAGACACTAAGGCATAAAATAAGCTAAATAACAGCATATATTTAATATTTCTTTCTTCAAAGGCTTCTGGCCAAAGAAAAGATTATATGTCTTTTTTGGTAATTTCTACTAGCTGTGACGCACACTGAAAACAAACAAACAAAAAATAAGGTTGTGTTTAAGTCTCAGCTCTGCTGTTTACTAATTTCTTGACCTTGAATAAGTCATTTAACTGGTTTGTCTATTGCTTTTTTTAAAAAATTAGTTTAATAGTATTCTAAACTATTCAGTTTTCAGCATGGTTTTGATGTTAAAATTTGATAATCTAATCAAATGGGAACCATAATAAAATGATTATTCAATAAATACTATTGATTAGTGATACAGATTCGATAGAAGAAGACATTAATATCACTCACCTGGCATCTGTTCTGTTGCCACAAAGGAGTGCATCTCTTTCTCCTTCCAAATAATAAAAATTTTCTGTTTCTGAAAATAGGAAAGAAATGATATTGATATTCTATATTTAATCTTTAATGAAGAGCTGATCTGGAATCTATTTAAATCTCTACAGTGAGAAGAAATGAGCAGACAGCCTGACTTTTTTTTTTAATCCAGGAAGCTGTCTTAGCATCTCATGTACAGGCCAAAACACCTCCGACAATCCATCTACCTCACTGACCTGACAGTGATAGAACTTGGAATATGTAGAGGAGAATTCCTTTCAAAATTAGAGTTCAGGAAAATGAATATAATCTGTTAGGTATGACAGACTCCTGAGGGAAAAATTCCCAGGACTAATACGTTTGAAAGCAAGGACCTTTATTTCAAGGATTTATTCCTGAAGCTTTTCCTGATCAAAAGACCATATTTTTCTGCCTTAATGTTTAATTTCCACTCTCTTCCCTTTGAAGTTTGTTTCTTTACATTGAGCATCCAATGCCAATTGTATACTTGGTGTCACCTAATTTCGACTACAACTTGTTTATCTGAATCATAGTGCATAGAATTTATCTAGGTATCTCTGCCTGGCAATTAAAATGTAAAATGTGTATTTATAAATATCGTTACCAGGGTTAGAAACATGCATACTTGGGAACATTGGTTTTTAAGTTCTAAATTCAAATCACAGAGATCAAACCCATGAAAGCAGGATTGAGTGTTTGTGTGTATACATACAAACATATATATGTACACAAAATTGTAGGTATACTATATTACAAAATTGAATTATTCCAATCTCAAATAATGTCAAATTTGTTGCCTAAAATAATTTTTTAAAATTTAAAATCATACATAACTAGAAACCATTGATGAAGCCCTTTGAATGGCAGTTAAAAAACAAATAAAATTTGACATTAGTAAAACTGAGTAGTCCCAGATACTTTTCTAAGTACAAGTACTATGACATGACAATTAGGTTAATAATATAATATTTTCAGCAATTCCTAACAAGTATTTCAGGAAGTAGACTGACAAATTTTAAAATGGTAATCTTTAAAAAGTGATTTCTTTGTAGCAAACTTGAACACAGATAAAAAAAAAACTGTTTTCTTAACAATAACTAGTGCAATAGCAAAAATTGTTTATTTTAAAGTAAATAGCATATTTTTTACAATGTCAAATAAAATTTTTTGACATATGAGGCAACTGATTCTTACCTCGAATGTAATATGGGTTTCTGGTTCTGTTGTGCATGGTTTCAGTTGCGTTTTCGTGGGGCCACCGGAAACATTTATGCTTCAGCTTGCCCATGAAGAGCCCCATCCCGATCACAGAAAATATGCTCAGAAAAAACAGAGTAAGGATAATGGCACCAGTAAGTTTCTTCAAGCAATGGAGCAGGATCCCTGCATAAGACTTCAGGCCTAGAAAGAGACAGGTTTGTTCTCAATAAAATATTTTAGTAAAGCAGCATTAGCAAAGTTCTCCCATGGTAAATACATACTACATTGAAATCAGTAGCTTTGTGTTTCATAATTTAATTTGTCATTATTTAGATCTAATAAATAAGGTGAATAAAAACCCAAACTTTGAGGGTTTGTATTATTGTTAATTTATTGCACCTAATGAAGTAATTCAGACACAATATATTTTAAAATTAGTTGTTCAATTGAATCTCTTTAACTACATAAAGGACAGGCTCTCTTGGCTACTGCTTTTCATACCAGTTGCCATTGTTTGTAAGTATAAGGTATAGAGTTATTAATCAAAATGTGTTGCAAATGTTGTTGAAACAAAAAAAATAGCTTGCAATAGCAGTATTCTTTCACTAATTTTTAGAAATTTAATTTTTGGAGCTGATTAAATAAAATGACAATTTTTAATGATTATAAATTAGAATAACACAACTGTGATACATGCAGGCTGTATTTATATCAGAATACTTACTAATGGAAAATTCACCCTTAAATTTAAGGTTGGTTCTTTATTTAAGAACATTTGTTTTTCTATTTAAATAATATATGCTTAATTCTGAAAATATAAAAAACAAGAAGAAACAAAAACCAAATGAACGTAATTGTACTTCATAGATGAAACTACAATTTTCCCTCCCTCCCTTCCTCCCTTCCTTCCTTCCTTCCTTCCTTCCTTCCTTCCTTCCTTCTTTCCTTTCTTCTTCCCTTCTTTTGTTCCCCTCCTTCTTCTCTTTTCTCCCTGGTCTCTTAGTTGTTGGTCTGTTTGCATTTAGGATCTTAATCAATGCTCAGCTCAACAACGAATGAGAATATAGTAGCTCTGTGATGCTGAGCAAGTCACTCAACATTTTTAAGTCTGTGTTTATTAGTTTTAAAGTGGGAATAATAATACATATTTCATATGCTATTGTTAGGATTGAACATTTATTTTTTTAAATGACCTCCTCAGATGATTGGATATTATAAAGTTACTCCTATGGTTAAAGAAATGTGATGTCTAGATTAAATATATTAATATTTTAATTGCTAGAATATTAAAATACATGTTTATGGCCTAGAAATTATAGCATTAGGTTTTTTGCTATATACAAGTCTTTTTTAAGTGTTACATAAGAAATGAAATTTCTGTGTCAACATATATATGGCCACAATTAAGTGTTGATACATATGTTCAAATTGCTTTTAAGAGATGTTAAATCAATGTTTAAACAAAAGACTATATATGTATGTAGCCAAGCCATCATTAAAAATAAAGCATTAAAAATGATTTCCAATTTCTTAGAAGAAAAATGGGATCATTTTAATGCAATTTCTGTGATTACCATAATGAACTTTAAAACATGTGTATTTGCACTATTCCTTATTTTTTTGGTAACCATACTGAGTCCTCTATACATTATTTTACTGATTTTTTTCATATTGTTTTGTTGGAATTATTTTTAAGAATTTCTCTTAAATAAGAATATATGTATGTATATAATTATAAATATGATGTATATATATACATACATATACACACATATATATACACATAAGTATGTGTATATATAATATATGTACCAGAGTTTTGTGAGCTTTAATTTATTGGTGACATTTTGTTTGAAGGTAAAAAAGTCACCATCCAATTTTACAGAGTAAAATTTATTAATAATTTTCATTGTTATCTATCATTCATTGTTATCTACCGAAGTTCTAAATCCATTTTTATTTTGATTTCCTGGTATAATTTTTCCCTTCATTTTACTTTTAAATTTTTGTTTTAGTTTAGGTATATGTGGTAGAGTTCAATTTATTTCTGATTTAATATTAAAGTCTCTACATCTTGACAGAAAAATTTAGCCCAATTATTTTTATTTTCATAAATTGGCTTTACTTTGGATTGGACTTCAAGCACAAAGCATGCATAGGTTTGGCCTGCTTCATGGTGTCGTAGTGGACAAAAATTGCTTGTAGATCTTCCTTTTGGTATTATCACACCTGCTTCTCAGTTTATTGATCCAGATATTCCATAATACTCTGACTCTTAGCAGTAAAAGAAAAGAAAACAAACCCCAAAAGACAAAACTTGGAGTGGAGTTGTTTCTATCTGATTCTTTTTTATTCATTCTGAATAACAAGTTGGAAGATGTTGGTGGGCTTCTTTAAGATTCTTCAGGAATGGGAGCTATAAATTATTCCTGAGCATCCTCCATGGATGTGGTCATAACCTTACTTAGCAGGACCTCCTCGAACTTTGTGGCATGTGGAATGCACCCTATCCTAGCACTCAGAACAAAAGGAGATTTATTTTATATTACTCTATTCATTTCATCTGGTTTTTACATGTAATAAGGAAAAGAAGATGGTAGATTAGATATCTGTGTAGACTGCTATGTCTTTCCAAAGTCTAAAGATAATTTTATAAGTTCATATTTAAGATGTAAGAATAAATAATAAAATAGAATAATAATATTTTTATTGCTCTCTACATTTTATCATAGGTAATGAACCCACCTCAAATAAATAACAGTCAAATGTGATACTTTTTTTCTTGCCTTTCCTGTAGTGACTGAAATAAATTTTAAGATCAGATAATTCATTGATTTCAAAGTTAAAACAGTATTCAAATTAATATTTCCACAAACAGTAACAGGAATACAAATGAATATACGGGAGTAGAGAAAACAAAATGAAGAAAAGGAACTCAATGCCATTTCTTACCTTGGTTTAAAGGAATCATTTTCAAAATTCTCAAATTTCTTGCAATCCTAAATATTGGATTGAGGTTTAGAGGTGAATATATGGTTATATGCCTGTGGAATTAAATGAAGAATTCTTTAGAGGTCCTATTGCAATTACATTACTTATCTTTGGCTTTTTATATTCTTTGAAACTTATGTTTAAAGCCATATATCCAAATATTTCCCTTGCTTTCATCATTCCATTTTTCAAATAGTTTTATCATTGATTGCAAGACAAAGATTGCTACAATGTGCAAAGTAGCCAGGTAAATATTAAACCACAAACATATTATGAGAGTTTACAAAATTCTGACACTGTGAGTACTCTTAATTCCATACTTATATCATGTTCATAAATATTTTGTTATCTGACTAATAAAAAGATAATTAAAAACAAAAAAAACAAAATCTGTTAAAAGAATGAGTTTCAATTTAAGGATTTAAGCCATTAGGCTGATTTTGATGATGGTGATGATGACGATGATGTTGGTAATGACAATGGTATTGATGATGACAGCAGAAGGCAGGTACATAGTGGCTAAGACACAGGCTCTATAGAGCCAGACAGCCTGTGTAGAAATCCAGGCTCCAATCTTTACTAGCTGTGTGACAGAAAAATTATTTAATTTTTCTTGCCTCAGTTTCCTCGGAATGGGGATAATAACTCTTCCTTCATCAGCAGCTTTTTTTGTGGAGATTAAGTAAGTAATATATGTAAAGTGCATGGAAGAGCAACAGAACATGCCAAGGGATGGAGATCTAAGTGTTAGCTGTGTTAGTTAAATGTGTGTGAACAGCAACAGCAGGGATAATGACAGTGATAGAAGTAGTAGTGATGATAACTGCAATGACTTTAGCCACTATTTTTGAATGCATAAAACATGGCAGATACTAATTATTCACTTTTATAAAGATTTTAAAACTTTTTTGATCCCAAAATCTATAAATACAATATTATTTACATTTCTTTAACAGGGATTTAACACCAGTGATCATTTACTCAGCCACAAAGAACATTAAACAGATGTATTGAAAAAAATAAATACATATAAAAATCATTAGGATGTAATGTAGCACTTTAGGAAATGTAGAAAATGTGTGTGTCTTTAAAATATCTTATTCTGATATCTAATATATTTAGTGGTCTTAAGAAATGCAGCTAAGTAAAATATAGATTTGAGATAGAACCAAATACGCTAGGATCCTCTCCTATCTCCAGAAAATTTTCTTCTCACCAAAAATAACTTAGAAAGCAAAACTTCAACCTCTATCATCTTTGCTTCATATAGAAAATGTAGATAATATCCTATTCCTTTTATATGTATTACATATTTTGAGGCCTCATTCAGTTGGAGCTATCTGGGAGAACTCACTATAACTATAATTTACAAAATATTTTGTTTGCAACTTTTTTTCAGGCAGAAAACTTTGTCAACCTCAATTTTTTAGTGAAAAGCATTTGCTTAGCAAGGTAGTAAGATGTTTGCAACTTAAATAAGTACTCACTCAAATAAAGTTACACTGAAGTCAAGCCAGTTCCACGGATCCCCAAAGAAATAAAATGGTCCAGTCCAGGTGCCTCTGGCAATGAGTTTTACAAGGATTTCGAGCGTGTAAATTCCAAGCAAAGTGATCCTGCAGAAAACAATTTTATGTATACATTAAAAGTAATACATTGTCAGTTCTTAAATACAACATGTTGGGAACCGCCCTGACTGGTATTAGAAGCGGAGACCCCCGCCTAGGCTAAGGCTAAGGGAACGCCCTTGGAACCGTGAGCCGGCAAGGAGACAAAAGCTTATCTCCCTGGCAGTAATGCTGTTTCTGCTGCCGAACCCCAAAAAGCTTGGTCGGTTAGCCAAAGACGGGTAAGATTCCCCATGGGGGAACAACCCAAGCCAGGCACGATCACTTTTGGGAGGCCCCCCAAAAAGAAGGACTTTGGGGGGCTGCAGCAAAAGGGGGTGATGGACCCTCACTCCTCGGCTCTGACAAAGTCTGAGTTCTCAGCGTCCGGAAGAAAATCTCCTTATCTCTTGGTGGCTTTAGTTCCCGCGCTCCACCTAAGCCTGAAACAATGACGGGGAAGTGCAGCTCGGGTACTGGGAAGTGCGGATTTCCCGGGGTGATCAGGCCTAAGAAAGAACATGTAAATTACTGTGAAACCTTCTTTGTTCAAGAATGCTCTCAGTTGAATGAGGAGGGTCTTAGGAGGAAGCTAGTTTGTTCCTCAGCCTTACAGCTCTTTGACCCCCAACTCAATAGACCGGCAGAGTTCTTTGTTTTATATGTTCCTTACTTCCCCTAATGAGTATTGTACGTTACCTGAGTTATTATGTAGCATGAGCCCAATAAAAGCAGGTATGGACTGTAAATTGGCGCGCTCCTCACTAGAAGCGGTGGCCATTTCGTCCCTACTTCTCCACAGAAACTAGTTTGTCTCTGTGCATGTTTTTTCTCGCGTGTTTATCGTCGAGCCATCCACAGTGTACCGTGGTCACTGCTAGCCGGTGACCCACGCGCAACACAACATCTATGGTAGCTATCTGGCAACCAATCAACCAACAAATCAATCAACCAACAAGACAATAATCAAAAAAGCATGTGCCTTTGAACCATAGGATAGGGCTTTACACAGGTCTTTGAGAGTGGTCAATGGCTCATGGTATTGACCATAAAATTTGACTATCAGTTTTTCACCAATTCCTAGCTCAGCATTACAGTCTTCATATATATTTAGGTAAGTGATGAAAATATCAAACATCAAATGTATTTCACACTGGGGGCCATACAATAAATAACCGAATTGTAAAGGAGTTTAAATAACTAATTTTACTTTATGTATATATAAGGATTTTTATGGTAAATCAGTATTATATTTACCTTCCAAAGTCAACTAGTTTTAAGAACAGAATTAAACTTGAAAGGTAGCCTCAATAAAGCTTTCATCCCTGGAAAATTTAATGAGCCTTTCCATCATTGCAGACTAATGTAAGTCAAACTACTCACATTCCCCAGGGAAGAGAAAATAAGTACATAATATAGAAAGAAAGGACAATTACTTTCTTAAAGAATGAAAAGAGCCCTGGCTGATGTAGCTCAGTAGATTGAGCATGGGCTGCGAAGTAAGGGGTCACAGGTTTGATTCCTAGTCAGGGCACTTGCCTGGATTGCGGGCCAGGTCCCGAGTGGGGGCCACGTGAGAGGCAACCACACATTGATGTTTCTCTCTCTCTCTCTTTCTCCCTCCCTTCCCATCTCTAAAAATAAATAAAATCTTAAAAAAAAAGAATGAAAATAAAGTTATTTGCATTTGAAGCAAATCAGGTGTGGGTTTGCAATAGTAAAGACAACCTGAGGCACCGATATATTAAACATTAGTAATTAATTTTAAAATGAAACCTCATTTGTATGATGCAATAGGCATAAACCTTAGCTAAAGACTCAAACATTCACATAGTATAACCTAACAGGTTGAGAAATAATTAAAGGGCAGAAAAACATGAAAATTGATTAACTGACATACATGTAAATTTGTTTCTATTTGGAAAATTTATTAATATAGATATGTGGATAAATATTACATTAGGTACAATGAATGTATTACATATGAAATATAAGAATTAAATTTACAATATTATAATATTATAAAGAATTAAATATACCATACAATATTTAGTATATTATATTATAATTATATGATATAAAAATTTTATTTTATTATAACATTTAGCATATAATATACTGTAATGCCATATGTTAAATATAAAATGTAATGATATGAGAGTATATATAATAAAATTATACAACTTACTGTAATTTTGACCCCCAGTATGGAAAATCAGTCATGGTCATGGTCATAAATATGCAGTCACTCAGGACGCTAATCAAAATGAACAGTCGAAAAAAGGTAGGTTATAGTCAAGGAATAAAAGATAATAAATAATATTGGAAACCTGTTTCTAAAATTTGTTTATATGTGTATACACATATGAGATAAAATAGTTTCTTAAATTATCAAAAAATATATTATTCATATTAAAAAACAAGGAAGATGAATATTTGTTAATATTTACTACTGTTGTGTGTATGAGAGAACACATTTAAAGGTATTTTCACATGTGGAATACTTAGTACAGTTATAATAGGTAGGTTATAGTCAAGGAATAAAAGATAATAAATAATATTGGAAACCTGTTTCTAAAATCTGTTTATATGTGTATACACATATGAGATAAAATAGTTCAATAGTTTCCAGACTTCAATAGGACGTACAATGAGATAACAATTCAAAAGAGAAAGACAGCAGTGGTATTTGAATGGAATAGTTGCATTTGATACTTGCATATTCTAAAGCCAATAGAAAAGGATATGGATGTACCAAAATCTTAACAGTTGTTCTTCTAATTGAATTGAAAGGAGACAATGTACACCAGGTGGCATTAAATCTGAAAATTGTTCTCTTTTTATTTAATACCATAAAAGTCTGCAAAGAGAAAAAGAGCATCAAGTGAAATTAGAACTATGAACTATAATGGAATCAATCATGCAACATATTGACAATGGTCACTTCAGTCATGAATGCTAAGTTACATTTTGCTTATATTTTGATATTCTTTTACAGACAAAATAAATGGAAAGTTTCTTTTAACTCTTTTCAGTGATTGTTAGGCTTATCTATGACTATTTATTTTTTCTGCCAGTGTTCTACCTGAGAAAGCTATCACCACACACTAATCCTCAAGTTTTCCTGTATAACTAAAATAAATAGGAAGAAAGGTATATATTAATAGTTTATGGAGATACATTTAAACATACCAGAATTCAATGAATGTAAAAAAAGTTAATTTTTCTTCAAAGCCAATGAGGTATGGGATTACAATAGTAAAAATGACCCAAATGCACTGCAATATTACATTAATCATTAGTAGTTATTCATATAAAACCCCATTTGTTTGTTATCATTATCATAATATACACTTAAATCTTAAAAAAATAATATGTTGGGATATAAAAGCATTAAAACCAAAAATAATGAGAGATCAAAAATATCCTAATAATGAGTCATATGTGAGGGGAGCCACTCTAAAATACAAAATTATTTTTTGTAGATCAGGTCCCTTGTAGTACAAGCTTCCCCTACTAGGTAAGAGTTCTAGGAACCCATCTGTATCAGTGTACCATCTGGTGTTGTTATGAGAAGCTGCGTTTGGCTTCAGTGAAATTTTTTTTGAAAACTCTTTCAACACATTAGCCCATTTCATAATGGGTGATTTACCAGTGCACCTGCCCACATCATGCTTTCTTCAGCAGTTTTTGAACACAGATGGCATGACCCCTGTTCTCCACCCTCCCTATTCACCCAATCTTGCCCCAAGCAACTTGTTTTTTTGTTTCTTTGGATAAAAGAATTCCTCAAAGGGCAATGTTTTGACAATGCAGAAGAGGTGGGACAAAAAAAAGAACAAAAACAAAAAATGGCAGAAGCACTAAAAAGCATAAAAATTTACAAGTTCAAAAACTGTTTTGAGCGGTGGAAATGTCTTGATATGTGTAGTGCATCAAATGGAGAGTACTTTGAAGGTGACTGAAGTTAAACATGTAGGAATAAATACACAATTTTTATAAATAAATTCAGTTTTGGGGCCCCCCCTCTAGTATATGTATATATGTATCTACAACATAAAGGTGGGCAAAAGTAGGTTTATAGTTTTTTATATTGAAAATAACATAATAATTATAAATAACAATACAAAAATAAACTGTTTTACATGACCATAACTGTAAACCTACCTTTGCCCCCTGTATACTTAGCATTATATTTTATATTATATAATATATAACCATACAGAGGTGTATATGGTGACTATATATTGATAGTTATATTTGTGTATATATGCAAATATATTAGTGGATACAAATTTGTATTTGTCAATTATTTATGAATACATGTTCTAAATGGAAACTTTTCCCAACATAACAGTCCATGGATATTTGGTCTGAATTGTAGATAGTTTTCCTTGTTGCATTTTAAATGCAACAAGAAAATTAAAAAGGACCCCCCAAATAAATCTGACTAGTTAAAATGTGCTTTCTGTGTAATTTGCAGAAGAATTTCAAACTTCACAGAAGATGGACATGCAACCAAGCAGCTGATATGTCATTGTGAAGCAATGAGCAATTCCAGGTATGATATTATCCAGTTAAAGATGAAGTGCTAAATTGTTTATTTAATTTTAGAATCACTAACTTTGTAATCTTAAACAGAATTAACTGAATATAATCCAAAATTTTAATAACTGTGTCACCATTAGTAACTACTTTTTATGCTGAGCTATGCTACAGGTTTTGACTTGTTTTATTCTTCAAACTCCTTGTTATTTTCCTTCAGTAGGAAGCCTGATTTGCTTACCACTTCTGCACATACTACACAGCACTCAGAACTCTGTTATATTAGAGTTACCTCTAAGGTTACTGTGTTATATTAATTTTTATGATTTAAGCATAGCAAAAACTGAAAACAGAAGTAATTAAGATGAGGATTTACCAAGATTTTACAGGTGTTTAATTAATAATGTTATATAATGTCCATGGAAGTTAACCATAGCTAGTGGAGTCCTTTTTATAAATACATTTACACTGTAAAATGCCAATATTCTTCTACCAGGCAAAGATTCAAAAGAGTCATGGTTGTATAATATGATCACTTTGCCTTCCATCCAGAGTCTTGGTTCAATTCCATTTCACCTACTTGTTACTATCTGTTAATGTTCTATTTACAAGAATATCAAATGATAGTTGTCTACACTGGAGCTAATCCTCCTCTCCCTCAAATTAGATCTTTTCTAAAGTTATTTCATTTTTATCAGTGGGAAAACTATTTCTTCAGGCTGAAAACCTTGGCATTATCAGTCAGTCTTCAAATCCTGCTGATTCTTCTTGGGATTTTTTACTTTCTCTCTCCTCTGAGACACTCCAATAATCCAGACCTCTGACCATCAGGCCTGGATTACCCTTTGTCTCCTATTTCATTTTTCTGACCCTTTCTCTTCCATGCAATAGTCATTTAGAAATCTTCATATTAATCTTATTTAAACATTGTATTTATCATATCAGTCTTTTGGCCATCACATTAAATCCATGCTGAAATCTCCCTTATTTCATCTATTTCCTACAACGTGCAACACAGTTGCGAGGGTTCCATTTTATCATCCCCCATTCCTTCTGTATTCCAGATTTAATCCCTGTGGTTGCTTGTTCACAGATCTTCCCTTTGCCTTGTTAAAATATGAAATGTTATCTAAACTATAATTCTTGTTCTATTTCTTTAATGAAGATTCTTCAGCTGTCAGTCCACACAGATCTCTGAATTTTCTAAACATAATTATTCTTATTTTTTATCATTTTGTGCTTGTCATTAGATTGTTCAAATATTTAATAGATTCCTCAATTTATTCTGGAGATAAAATAGGGTGTGAATGTATGAATGAATAAAATGATAAATAAAATACAAGTCAGCTTTATTTTCCTAACTACTGAGTGAGCTTATCAAGTTGAGTGTGTGAATTTGTGTACATATTACACAAATTTTATACTATGGTTATTTTAAAATTGATAAACTTTAGTAGCCAATCATCATGCTCCCATAAAACAAATAATTATATTAAGGCGTGACAGTGTAACCTGTTACAAAGTAAAGTATCCCCAAACCAACCAAGTAACCAGGCAAACAGCGAGTTTTGATAAAAATCTCAAATATGTATGAGATTTCTTATGTAGTTCTGTATAACTTAAAATTAGTTGTTGATGTATTCCTCATTCCCCCTTTTTAAAAAAATTTTATTGTATTTTTTTCCATTACCATTTAGGCCCACCTCCCCACAACCCCAGAATCACCACACTGTTGTCTATGCCCATGAGTCATTTTCCTTTTTGCTCAATCCTCTAAGCTTCTCCCCACCCCATCCTCTTTTCTCATCCTATTTCAATTCTGTTTTTGGAATTTCTGCAAAATAAAATAATGCAAATGTCAAATTAAACCTTACATTTTGATTATGATAGTATGGGTCCACATCTTCCAAGGGCTCTGACACCATTTCTCGGGGAAGAGTTCCATAAACAAATGGGAGCACTTTTCCAACTTCCAAGTCAATGTTTGGCTTTAAATCCTCTTCATGTTCCTCCTTGTGTTTTTTAGCAATACGCTGTTCCATAAGTTCAAGGGACTCTCTGGTGAAGGGCACAAGGCCCTTTGGTTCTGGGGAAGCCATTTTGAATTTTTTACCTGCAACAAATGTATTTTCTTTAGTTCTGTATGAAATTTGTGTATACTGTGTAAAGAAAACATTTAAATTACAAAAGTTTAGAATATAAATAAAAAATAATAGTGAACTAGATACATGCATTCAAAGAAAGTTCTTCAGTTTTGTAGAAACCTGAGTTGTTAAGCTAGGTTCTTTTATACTTAACAATAGACAATTTTATACTTAACAATTACTTAATTTGTAATTTCATGAGTAACTCATTCTGTTTCATTTACTTATCCATTGACTCCTTTTCTGTTTACTCAAATCTTCCTTTACATTTCTTCCTTATAACAAAAGAATTCTAAAGTTACCAGAGATTTGGCATGTGGAAGAATCCAGTCGTAGCTGCATTTAACCATTGATTGGACTTTTCTTCCCCAAAGGCAGTCTTTATTGGCTCTAGGCCTCTTTCTTCTTTCTTTTTTTAAATTAAATTTAGTGGTATGACATCAATTAATAAAATGATGTAGGGTTCAAGTGTATAATTCTTCAACATATCATCTGTATATTGTATTGTGTGAAGTCAGATCTCCTTCTCTCACCATACACTCAACCTCCTCTATTCTTCACTACCCCACCACCCCCTTTCCCTCTGGTAACCCCCATACTGTTGACTGTGTCTATGAGGTTTTCTTTTTTGTTTATTTGCTTTGGTTGTATCTACACAAAAAATGTGAGAATATTTACTTGCAAAAATATATGCACCCTTATATTCCTGGCAGCATTATCTACTCTTCTCTTTGTACAACCTGTTTACTCCTCTTGACTCAGTTCTTCCTTCAAATTTTAACTCTAATATCCCATAAAGTTGTTCCTCTCCCCTCTGTAGTGTCCTTCTTTTTGGTGAGTGCATAGGGACACACAGGGTTTCAATGACTGTACATGGATACTTACTGAGTACATTTCTTAAAACACTGTTTTTCCTCCATCATTTATGTGGCAATCCCACCAATCACTACAGTTTAACAAGTAAAAGTGAAATTTATTGTTTTCCCCCATGACTAAAATCAATTTTTAACCTTTTAGCCGTTGTAAAAACAAAAGGACAAACACAAGGTAATCATCTTGAAAATTACTCATGAAATGTTTTGTCATTAATTCCTCTGAAGAAAATAATGTTCTTTCAATTATTTTCATTATGTATTTAAATATGATCCAATGTTTACATATCGACATAAAGGCAAGTCATCTTTGTAACTCTACATCTGGGTTGTTGTAGTAGTTTTCACTGGTTTCCTTCAATTCTAGTCTTTATTTTAAAGCATCCTAGTCTTTATCTTTAAACCATCCTACAGGCCACTCAAATTTTTGTTCATTAAATATAATTTTATGCATCAATTCTCCACTCATAAACCTTGTTCTTTACTCTCACATAAAAATATATTCTTTTGCTGATTTTCTCCAGCCTAATTCTTGCCAAAACCTACTCAAATGATCCTATTCAGTGAAAACAGATTATTATTTATATATTTCCCTCAACCCTCATTGTAATTTTATTATCGCAATTACCCCTCTTTGTGACTTAATTTTCACAACTAAAGATAAGGAATTTTGTACTTGATATTGTGGCTTTTGTATAAGTATATTTTGTCTCTAATAGTGCTGCTCTTGGTTGAATTCCTTCTATACAGTTTCCTTAAGACAGAAATCACACACGTATGTACACATATATTCTGCACCATAATTCTACACTGTTCAGTGTAGAAACTGAACTGTTTAAGAGTTCAGTCCATTACTTATCTATTCATGGAAAGTAAGAAAAAATGTTAGTTAATCTTAATGGAGTACCAGTTATTATAAAATTCAGACTCTTACTCATAGTTTAAATAAATGGTGTTTGTCAGATGTTTCAAATATACAAATGGCAATCTCACACACGTCCAAGGAGAGAACACATAGCCCTTTTCTGTGTCCTGGGAAATAAAAATGAAAATCCAGTGCTGGGATGACTCCTTATACCTTTCATGGTATCACAGTTTTCTGGGCTTTTTTTCCTCCTTCTTTTCTTTCCTTTTTTCTTTTCTTTTCTTTTCTTTTCTTTTCTTTTCTTTTCTTTTCTTTTCACTCTTTCTAAACAAAGGTTTCCTTTGCTTACTTCTAAGACTCTACATTAAACAATGGCATCCCAGCTTCAACTTTGATTTTTCAGTTTAAATTCCCACCACATGCTTTCTCAAAAACTGTAAATAAAAAGATATTCTTAATTGGTCTAACCCAGCCTATCAATTTATTTCCCTTGGTTCAGTCACTCATGACCAGAGAGAGGGATATTTTTATAATAGCAATAGCTTCTTATGCCTACTTCCCTCAAGGAATGTTACAAGAACAGGGTGTGAAGCAATTTTAAAGAGAGGAATATGGGATAGGAATATTGACATATATCTACTTGGAGGCATCTTTCCAGATTAGTAGTAAAAAACCTAACAATTGTTCACCTTAAAATTTACCCTTTTCAAATACCTTGCTCAATATTATTCACAAAACTAACATATTAAACATTGGTCAAGAATCATTTATATGTATATACCATATGTATAAATACAAACACATCTATAACAACACCTCACTTATTAAACTTTATTGAGGGGAGATAAAATTCTTTGCAGAAGTCCAACTTATAAACATAGGTTACAGACACTGAGGTTTGTTCTTATATATAACATTTTCTGCCTTTAAAATATTAAATATGCTTTCAAAATTGAGCTTCTCACATGGAGTTACTTGAATATATATTAAATACTTTCTCAATGATTCATGATTCTAGGCTAGTATAAACAAATAAAATCATGAACTTTGGAATTAGGTAGACCTACATTCAAAACCTAAAAAAACAAAAAAAAATTAAAAAAAACTAAATACTATTACTAATGTTCTAAGAGGTCTCAGTCAAATCACTTAATATTCTTGAATCTTCAGTCATAAAATTGATATTCCTCTTTGGGTTAAATAAGGATAAAATAAAATAATATGGTGAAAATGCCTACTACAGTGACTGGCACCTAATAAATGGGAAGTAAATTTAAAATTTTAATTGTGATAAAATCTGTATGTCTTAGAATGATGGGCCAAATCTCATGAAATAATATATAATGGAAATATATGTAGGGTTATGAAATTTAGACCAAAACATCCCATCTACACAAGTATAGTAGAGAAAAGTTACATTTTTGTAGCAGAGAAAATGGCCAAGGGAGTTTACTTAAGAGTAATTGCAATGTAAATCAATACTGACTTGTATCTGCCAAGAAAGCTATGTAACCTCTATCTGTACTGCAGGAAGATGGCAGCCTCTTTCTATTCTGCTGTAATCCAAGACTGTAGCCAAAAGGTAAGTTAGTAAACTGGAGGGTCTTCAAATAGAATCCAAATATTGATTAGACTCAAATCACAGCATCTATAGACCATGTAAAAGAATGGAAGATCTATTAATTGAAGTAGAAAAGACTCAAGTAAAACACTATTTTTGTCCAAGTATCAGAACATAGATTGAGTCATATTTCCTCACATGTAAACTTTGGAATCTCTCATGTGTTACATGAGGTCATAACGGTCAAACAAACGATACATGGAAAGCCTACCCCACAGTGCTGGTCAGTGCTAATTCTTTCTCCTAACTCAGTCAGTGATCCACAAGATTTCTTTAGTGATAATTTTGATGTTGAATGAAACTACTCCAGGCTGTTGACTACGTAAATGAGTTGATAGCGAGTCCTTATCAAATGGAACTGGCTTGCATCTGACTTCTATGTGGCTAAGAAAAGATTGTAAATTATTAATCATTAAGTCATAATTTGGTAAAAAGCATTTCTGTGGGTAATTTATAAAATATGGTCCAGGCACTATGCTTTCCAGTGAGTGATCTTAATACAGTGCACTAAAGCCTGAAAAAATATGTTGAGATTAATAGTTAATTTGTCCATTAGATTTCCTTTCTAAAAAATCGAAAGCTAAAGTAAGCTCTTGGCAAGAATTGTATCAAATTCAACTGAGGCCTGGACTCTAACTAAAGTTCTAGTTGCACTAATATTTTATATTGTTGATTAAAGTGCAAACCATGTATCTTGGATATTAGTTGGAAGTAGCACAACTAGCATCAGTATGGGGGAAAGAGGTTCATTATTATAGAAAAATTCTCCTTAAAACAGTTTTCAAGCATTTGAAAAGGAGCCAATATTTATCATAATTAAGGCAATTATAATTTTGGTCACACTATATGACTACCACTTGCAAAGCACTGGACTAGATGTTTCTGTTATGTCATATTCTCACACATCATCCTTGTGATCATTATTTATAAATGAGGAAGCAGACTGATGAGTTTCATGACTCATAGTGTAGCCAGTTGAGTGGCAAAGATACATGCTCACCCAGGTGTGTCTAAATCTAAATCTGGGTGCCATTAAACTACACCATAAAACTTATAAGCTGCATGTTTTTAGACAAATGCAAACAACTAATACCTCAGTAGGGCTACCAGAAATATCCAAAAACTAATGGATTTAATGGGATAATTTAGACACCAATTTGCATCACTGGGTAGCTGACAAACTCATCAGGTGAGATTGTCTAGAAAACTTATTTATGTAAATGTTGTCAAAGTCAAATATTTTGTAAAATTAAAAGGGAGCAAGAGTAGTGGCATTAATTGGGAGTAGAACAGGTGCCACCTAGTATGAAAATCCTCTACATAGATTTAGGATTTGCTATTGTGTGAATTATGGTGGAAGACCACCAGCAGCAGAATTGGAAAGGACCAGATAATGTACTTAATGACTTTTCCAGAGTCTCATGGGATCTAAGAAGTGACCACAAGACCTTGGCAAGCGGATCAAACATATCAGCTTAGGTTACAAGTTTGGATTTAATGATACAAAATAAGACAGGCAGTGGAGAATCCACTTTTGCAAGACAGACAGAAACTTCAGCAGCAACTTTTGTAATTTGGGGAACATATTAGTAATACAGTAGCAGTGCCCAG